CCTTAAGGAGAGCGCCAGTATTTCTCCTTGACAGATATCTAGAGGTGGAATTGCTGGGCCAGATGAGATGCGCATTTTACATTTGGATAGATAGTGCCAAACTGCCCTTCAAAATGGCTCTCCAGTATACACAACCTCTGAGAGAGAGCCTGTGTCCCCTCATCCTCACCAATGTTAACTTTTATCAGTCCTTTCTAGTGTTGACATTCTGATTAATGAGAAATAATAGCATTGTTGGTTTAGCTTACATTTCTTTGATTATGAGTAAGGTGTCAGAGTTCAGCTAGAGATGACAGAAGCTACTCCATTAGTTTATGCAGAAAGAGATTTATTCATAATACAGGGAAGGGACTAGGAGGAGAATGGCTGGGGATGGGATGCAAGAGGCATGGAGAAGAGGCCGATTGGGCGGAGCCATGCTGCCGTCTGTCTGAGCAGAGCTGGGGGAGGCTGCATGGGGTCTTAGTCAATGACAGGTGTCAGTGTATCCCCACCAGCCAAGAGGCAGGGGTGCTGTGCCTCATTCTCCCTCCAGAAGCCCTCCCCAGTGAGACTGCGTGCCACTTAGAGCAAGTACCGTTCTGTGAGCATGGTGGCGGGGCTAGGAGAGCTACCAGAGATGAAGCTGGCAGGTGGGGAGGAAGCATGGGCAGAGGTGCCAAGAAGGTAGAGGAGAGCATGCCATGAGCAGAGGAAAACCCCTTTTGCCCTTGGGTAGTGGCATCATGATAAACGGGATCTGAGTCACCAGGGAAGGCATGGAATAACTGGGATGGGCTTGTGCATCAACCTCTCCCTCACTTCCTTTGGAGTCATTTGGTTGTTTTCTAATTCTCCACCCTTTGCCCATCCCCTGCCCTCATCAAATCCACTTGGTATGTGTTATGTGTGTGTCTTTGTGTGTATACAGGCACAGTTGGCTCTTGGTAAGAGTAATATTAGGTGAAAACAGGAAATTGCAATTATCTGGCTATTTTTTGACCTACAAAAACAGATTTTTCATAAGGTTCAACCAATAGGGTAAACTAAAATAAAAACTCAGGTATTAATAAAAACCCTTGATGCTAATGCATGGAACTAATGAGGTAACCACTGTTCCCAGCTCTGTAATTGTCTTCTCACGCCTTACTGCAGTCAGAGGCTCTGAGATAACTGCATCGCTGTGGCCAGGGTGGTAGAATGCAAGGTCATGCAGCAGCTGGCTAAGAGCCAGGTGGAATTTAGGCAAGAACATATCCCAGGATTGGGTGATAACCTTGCTTCAAGTTCTGTCTGCCCCTCACCTCACAGTCAGTCAGGCTAGTTTTCAGGAGGCAAGGGTGACAGAGCTCAGTCGAGCTGAGGGAATGATTTCAGCAACTGCACTGGGACAGCTTTCAAGGACTTGGAGCCCCCTGTTAGGACACTGCAGAGAGCCTAGGGGTCTGCCCAGCTTTTCTCCTGCTGCTCCTCCTGGACCTGCCTGCTTTATCCTCCCAAAGGCCAACGCTCACAGTGCCTTGAGTTCCCACTCCAAAGGCAAGGGTATTTGCTGGGTTGAGTTAGTCACTGTTCAGTGTGGAACCCTGATAGACAGCTGCCATAGATTCAAGGACCAACTACATAATTTATGGGGCCCAGCGCAAAATGGAAATATGGGTCCCTTGTTAAAAAATCATTCTGAGTTTCAAGATAGCAGTAATAGAACACTATACCAAACCGAACACATGCCCTTTTGAGCATGGGGCGCAATGCGACTGCACAGGTTGCACACCCACGAGGCTGCCCTGGCAGGAGCGCCCATGGGGAAGCCAGGAGGGCCGTGAGATATGAAGCCCCTGCAAGAGCCTGCCCAGCTGCCTTTCCAGGCCTGCCCCTGCCCACCCTTTCCACAGGAGCTCACTGCTGGGAGCGTGGCATGGCAAGGAACACTTAACGGTGGTAAGGTAGGGCCAGATTAAGAAAGCAAGCTTTGGAAGCTTAATGGATTATCCTTGGATGATGCCTAAAGTATCCAAATGATTTTACACGAAGAGCTGGGAAATAGCTAATTGAAAGAGCCCCAGGCTTGGCTATGAGTTGGAGTCACAGCTGGGCAAAATTCCTGATTCCAGCCCTCCTTTTCTGTAACCAAGGTCCTGAACTGCCCTCACCTTCTGTGTGCCCTCACTGCCCCGCCTCCCAAAACAAGAGTGAGGAGCCCACTAGCTGAGCTGCCTAGTCAAAGCCTGGCCGGCCAGAATTCCAGGGAGGCTGCCCTTTCCTCACGTAAACCCCTACCCAGCACTTTGGGCAACCCAGATAAGCAGAATCACTTCTAAGCAAAAGACCACATTTATTCAGGACTTTCAGTTTCAGAATTTGCAAAAGGATGAGCCAATGATTGAAACTTTCCAAAAGGCACGGAGCGCCCCCTGCTGGGTACCATGTAGCCTTGACATTAAACTGTCCTCTGCCAAAGCACCCAAATCTGAAACTATGCGGTAGGGCAGCGGTCCCCAACCTTTTTGACACCAGGGACCTGTTTCGTGGAAGACAGTATTTCCACCGAACGGGGGCCAGGGGGTGGTGTCGCCTCCTTGGCTCCACCTCAGATCATCAGGCTCTGGATCCTCAAGGGGAACGTGTCACTTGGATCTCTCGCATGCTTTTGCAGTAGTGTCCAGGCTCCTGATGTGGGGCTCAGCCGGTGTTGCAAGCGATGAGGAGTGACTGTGGGTGCAGGTGGGCTTTACCAGCTCGTCAGCCTTCATCTCCTGCTCTGCGCCCGGTTCTTGGAGGGCCACGGACCCGGTTCACCATGTCACTGGGTGCAACCAGCGAGTGGGCAGGCAGCCTTAGGGAATTAACTTTGTATAAAACTCAGTGACAACAGCAGGGCCCACGGTCACAAAGTTATAAATTATACATGCATTTGATAAAAGGTTGAATTTTTCAATGTTTCATGACTCCTAGGCTCCTAATAAACATTCTTTTAGTTCTTTGTCTCAATTATAGAAACAAAGTAAACAGTTTGAAGTTCTGAGTGTTCTGACAGGATTTTCTTCCCATTTCAGAATGGGTGGGTCACAGGTTTTTCATGGGTGGAGGGTGTGGTTGGGGGGGTGGGGATAACATGGTCCAGGAAAAGCACATGGGCTTTGGGATCAGGTAGCACAGGTTGGAATCCATTTACTATTTGAGTGCCTTGGAATAAGTCCTTTAACTTTAACCTTAAGTCATTATCATCTCCTGACCAATGAGGACAATGATATCCACCTAAACAGTGAATCCCAGGGCTGGAGTTCATGTGCATAAGGCACAGAGAAATGCTTGACTAATCATGGTGTCACTGTTACTGTACTATTAAGATGTGGGTCTAAGTTGAGCTTCAACAACTCCAGGACTCAGATTCTGTTTCTTGAGAATAAGGGCTGTATCTGGAGTCCTGTGTCTGGCTCAGAGATCTCGATACCCCTGGGTCATGAGGGCAGTGCTCATGCTGGGCACTTGAATCTCTTCAGAACCACATGGCCATGATCCAGGGTGCTGGCTTCATGAAAAACACCTGGCACTGGGCGAGTCTGGACAATTCCACTTCTAAGAGACATCCCAAATCCACCACTTCTACCTCCATCTTGCTAGTCCAACCCACCACCATCTGGGTAAAGACCTCTCCTCAGTTTATCTGGGTCATTGCTGCTATCCTCATTGCCAAGTCTGAAGTGCCCTTGAATGAAGGAGGTGGCGCCAATGCTTGGAGTCTTTGCTCAGTCTAAGGGACTCAGGGCTGAGGTTTGGGTCTCTCTCAGGGCACCCACACAAGCCATGAACCTCTGAGGTTCTGGAAATATTTCAGAAACAAAATCAGTATTTTAAATTATGTGCTATAAATGCTACTTAACACAACTCCCTTGATTACTCAATACAAATCAGGTGCCTTCTGTATGCTCCTATGCCTGCAGTAGTCACTGTTGGTGCCCATGCGCCCTTTGCCTGGTCTGTGCATTCCCCAGCCACTGGGTAGTGGCTGCCCAAGGCTCATGGCTGTACCCTCCTTGGCAGTGGAGGCTGTACCCTCCTTGGCAGTGGAGGCTGTACCCTCCTTGGCAGTGGAGGCTGTACCCTCCAATGCCCAGGAGGCTATGCTCTCTCTGGGGGATGGCGGGAGGGGCAGAGCCAATGACTGAATGGTTCATACTGAGTACATGGGCCTAGACCCTTGCATTGAGGTGGGAAAACTGTTGGTGCCAGCACGGTCCAGAGCTCCTGTGTGAGCAGACTGAAGTGAGACTTCAGCTGACATATCGTTGCTTAGCTCCTTTCCCTGCTCTATCCTGCTTCCCTCACAGGGCTCTTCTGAGAGCACAACCTCCATAAAACACTTGCAAAGAAAAGAGCTTCAGGCTTTGTTTCTAGGAACCCAAACTAAGTCACATCCTTTAGTTTTCCTTCCTAGCTTATGGCACAATTTGAAAACACAGATTTGTATGGCTATTGGTTTAAGGTCTATATCTCCCCCACTAAACAAAGGCTTCATGAGGGCAACCAATAGATGTCTTACAGGAATCATATTCTGATTCAGCTGAAATCAAGATAACTTCCATATTGTATTGGTCTACCAATAATCTAGGGAAAGGCTGGGCTGGATTCATATGAACATTCATCAAGTTCCTAGATGTTAGTGTCTTAGATATAACATACTGTAAGTTGTAAAATCCTCATTTAACAAGAATGTGAAAGAACTGTGGCATACTAGGTACTTTAATTTTTTTTAAAAGCTTTGTATTCTCTTGGTATAGATTTTTTCTAAACATCGTAATTTTCTTTTCTATTAGATTGTCTTTCTTTGGGTCTTTATTCCAAAGATAAATCATTTCTAGGTAGGACCAGTGATGGAGAGGGAAGAGATCGGTCTGGATTATAGAAGAGTTGCTACAACCATGTTTCTGATTGAAACTCTAAAATAAGCTCATTTGTTTTGTAACATACTTCTTCCTCCTAAAAGGCAGGTAAACAAAAAGACCCAAGTGAAAACAGGATGAGAAGAGATTTAGATTATTCTGTGTTTTCAACGAGGGATACAGACGTATAAGCCAGGACTTCTTCCTACAGAGTTTACATGTTACAGAACATGAAAGACACTGTTTAACAGAGGCAAATAACTCCAGGAGATAAATATACATGAAGGTGTTTTACAAAATACAGGTTCTTATACAAATGTATAACTAAATATTGATTCCATGGTGGTTTGGTTGTATCTGAAAGGGCTTTGAGAAAATAAGAAATGCCATTACTAGATAAAACTAGTAGTCCAGGTCGCCAAAGAGCCTTTCCAGCAGCACCAAAGGAAGTTGTAGGGATAGCAGAGGTAACTGTCAGATAACTTTTTAATCTGTACATTTACAGAAGTTTGAAAATACCATGGGAGAATCTTAGGAATCCCAGTAATCTGTGAATGGGATATCTATAGATTCGTAAGATCTACACGGCTAAATCCACTCAGAATGCTTCTCTAAGTGGGTGATGGGGAAGGTGTATGAGAAGTTAATAATTCTCCTTCAGTCTGGCTTCCTTTTTGCCTTTCCTTCTCCTATTTGCAATCGCCTGTGTCACAGGACATGTATAAGTAGGTGGGAGGTGTTAAACTTTGACAGTAAATCGAAATCAGAGTTAAAGGCAAATGTTTTCCCACTCACGTTTATACAAGCTACTGAATGAAGAGTTCTAGGGTTTAAAGAGTCAAATATTCTACACTCCTGAGAAATCTTAGTTTCTCATTCTGGTGAATATTTTCACATCCCACTTTGCTACTGTAAACCAACTGGGTATACATTTTTGAGTGTTGATTTACTACTCAAAGATTTGAATTAGGAGACTAAAATAAAACATTTTGTATCTATGTATTTTATAAAAATGCATCCATGAGAAAGGAGCCGTGTGTCAGTTTCCAATGGGGGGAACATTCTCATGGAGGTACTGTAAGGCTAAGTCTGTCCACTTCATTTCCTGTTCTTTGACAGATTCTGTGGTGCCACCGTTGTCTTGTTCAGGTTCAGGAAGCTCATTCTGAAAAGGCACAATGGACATTGAGAATGGTAATATATTCTGTGTTAACCTCTTAAAACTCAAGAGCACTTAGAATTAAAACCTGTGAGTTCCTATGAACAGGCAACATAACTGACAGATGTACTCCAAAGAAAATATCAGAAGTATCACACAAACACAGGCTGGTCCCTCTTCAGTAGGGAATGATGGGCATTATGACCCTGGTGTTTGGGCAGCAGGCAGTGTGGCAGAGGGCTAAAGACAGAGGCTTTTGGAAGCCAACTAGGATCGAAGCCCACAACTCTGCCATTGCGGGGTTACTTGACTGAGCAAATCCTTGAGGCCTTTGTTTCCTTTTTGGCAAATGGGAGAAAATAGCCATCACCTCACAGGACTGCTGTAAGGATTAAATGAGGCAATTCCGATAAAGTGGTTAGCAGTGTGTGGGCATCCAGGTGCTCAAAGAATCTTTGCTATTATTATTAGTGGCTAGGAACACTGAAAAAAGCCAATACTAAATCTTTTTTTGGGAGTATGCTTTAAAAGAATATGAGATTTGTGGACATATTCTTTAAGCATTAGAAACGTATCCAAAAAACTATCCTGTACCCAACATGCCTATATTATAATGAAGGTGGAGATGGAGGGGAAACACTGAAAATGTAACATTACATTTTAACATCTAATAATAGATAAGACTTCCCCCTTGTGGTGGAGCAGGGCAACATAAGACACAGCAAATGACCACACCCTACCAGCAATTTTCTTAAATGGTAAGCCATGAGTTATGCTTAGTGCAGAATCTGAGATTATTTCCTTATATTATAAATTTAAATTTATTACTACTGAAACTCTGCTCTGTACCAGAGTTCACTGACAAATTTCTTTTCTATTATCAGAATTTACATTCTGTTTTAGGGTTGGCAAATTGTTATTCAATATCCAGACTTATGATTTCCCACTGGATTCTAATTTGCAGTTTTTGAATATGTTTTTCCTCTTTAAAGTTATGTTCAACATATAGTAAATGATATTTATTCACAATGTGAATAAATGTGTAAGTATGTTTGTGTAAGTATGTGTAAGTATATTTGAATCACATACATCTTGCTCTACAAATGTAAGAAACATACTTGTATAGATTGAAAAGAGCTATCATTTATTGTAAATGCAAAAATATACTTAAAAAATAGTCTGGTCCTAATAATTACTTACAGATGACAAAGAATAAATAGCTCCTTGGTTAATAAATTATTTTCAGAAGCAGGTAACTTTTCTTAATTTCATCCCATCTGTGGGGTGCTTTTTAAAATAATGTCTTTCCTAGGGTGATTATTGTCTTTTGCAATGAATGCCAACACACAAAATTGTACATGTACCTCGAAAACAAGGGTATAATAAACACAATCATCTGCAAAAATGACTGTAGTTCTTTGTAACTACTCCTATCAAAAGGTAGAATCTATTTCCCCAGTCTTGTATTTGGACTGGCCATGCAACTTGCTTTGGCCAACAGAACGCAGTTATGGTGTTAGTGGGCCAGTTCTTGGCCTACTGTGCAATTTCTCATGCTGCTCTTGGAACCCTGAGACTGAGAAGTCTGGGCTAGCCTGCTGCATTGTGGCAGACTGTGGCCTAGTTGTCCTGTCATCCAGCTGACAACTTGCTAACTGCCAGACATGTGAGATAGTCCAAGATCACCCAGCCTCCAGTCTGTTGGCTGCATGCACGACACAAGCGAGCCTAGCAGGGATCAGCTGAGCTGGCACAGACCAGAAGACCCTCCCAGCTAAACTACACAATCATGAAATAAACAGTTTTTGTTTTAAGCCACTAAGTTTTGGGGTGATTTGTTACGCAGCAAAGCTAACTTGACATACACATTGCCTTAGAACTACAAGACAAGGGAAAAGGTATGGATTAGCAAAAGGGCAAGGCCACGATCTGAAAGTCAGCAGGCAAATGTCCCTTTCCCTCATCCCCTACTACACAAATGGTCCCCAATCCATGCCATCACAACTCCAGAATTCAGCAAGTCTCCTCTATTTTCTTGACTTTGTTCAGGCCTTCCTCCCTTGCCTAGACCCCTGCAAGAGCTTCCTAATTGGTCTCACTCCCCCTTTCTCCATGTCAGATCATCTCTAATAAAGCTACTAAACTGATTTTTCAAAAGCCATATCTGAACATGGCAGTATTGTTTTGAAGATCACTCACTGCAGGATCTCCTGCGGATGAGGTCTAAGTGTGGCATCAAATACTTCTCTCAAAATCTGGTCCGAGCCCAACTTTTCAGCCTACTTACTTTGATGACAAATGTATTCTCCATCTGCACTGAATCTCTCACCATCTCCCAAAGCCTTTCAAAACTCTGGGCCTTTACACACCTGTCTTCTCTAGTGCAGTGACCTTGTCTACCCCCACTGAACTTCTGGTTCTTCCTTACAACCCAGCTTAAATGTTACATTCTTTCTGATGCCTTTTTTTTTTTTTTTTTTTTTTTTTGAGACAGAGTCTCCTTTTGTTGTCCAGGCTAGAGTGAGTGCCGTGGCGTCAGCCTAGCTCACAGCAACCTCAAACTCCTGGGCTCCAGTGATCCTTCTGCCTCAGCCTCCCGAGTAGCTGGGACTACAGGCATGCGCCACTATGCCCGGCTAATTTTTTATATATATATCAGTTGGCCAATTAATTTCTTTCTATTTATAGTAGAGACGGGGTCTCGCTCTTGCTCAGGCTGGTTTTGAACTCCTGACCTTGAGCAATCCGCCCGCCTCGGCCTCCCAAGAGCTAGGATTACAGGCGTGAGCCACAGCGCCCGGCCTCTGATGCCTTTTTGATGCCCCAAAACCAATCAGCCACTTCCTGTATGATGTGGCTATTCACACCCTGACTTAGATCACTTATAATTATAATTATTTATTGATATGTGTTGCCTCTCTAGATCCCAGGGGCAGGAACCATATCTTGTGTTCAGGGGCACACAGTAGGCTTCAAAAAAAATGCTTGTCAAGTGAATGAATCAACAAAAGCTCACAAGGCAGGATTTGGAACTTCACAGACCTAGGTATAAAGTCCAACTTAACAGCTACCAGCCTTTGGGCAAGTTCCCTTCTCTGATCTTATTCCTTTCCTATAAAATGGGGTTCATACCACCTTCCTTGCAGGGTTGTTTTAAGGATTAGAGCTAAGGTATGTCTTCAACCTCACTCTCTGGCATAAACTGGTATTCAATAAATGGCAGCTATGATTCCCATTATGCTCTCTCTTTTGACTACATTCCTAAACTTGAACTAAGCTGTGACTTGTTCTTTGATATGTATATTATTAATTGAACATATTACTCTTATTTTTAAATGAAAATGTGGGTGAACTATTTTATTTCTCTAAACAGTAGCACTGGACAATCTACCCATAAATTACATTTTATTAACTACTCTCCTCAGGTCAGCTGGCATGCTTTAAAGAAAAACAGTCCCCAGGCCCTGTTCTACTTTTGTTAGGCCTCTATGACATAAATAGGATGTTTAATAAACATTTATTTACATAAGCAAAACTTTTGGATCACTTATTCCATGAGGTTTAAAATACTCCTTGAAGAAGAGTTTTCCAGAGATTAGGGAAGAAAAGAATATTCCAGGAGCCTGTTGGCCTAAACGCAAAAGAGAAAAAGTCATGTATCTTCTGAATATTTTCCAGGGAACCTAGGATGGGTGTGTGTTCTAAGAATGTGAGTTTCTAAAAGTGTCAACAGACTGATAAGCCACAGGCAGGGAAGTAAGAAACAACATTTATGCTGCTGCTCCTTATCTTACATACTAAATTCTCATTTTTTGATTTCTGGCTTTGGTGTGATGGACAGAAACAGCATGGCTCAGAAACTCTGGTCTCCAGTCCTGGAGTGATCCCTAACTGAGCTGCTCATATTTCTGAACCACATTTCTCTTCAAATAAAAAGTAGGCCTAGGTGCTCTCTAAGGGCTTCTGAAGTTAAAGCAGCTTTCATTTCTTTGCCCTACTAATCTTCCACCTCCACTAGGAACTGCCAGATGATACCTTCAACCCATCATCCTCAGTTTAAATCATAACCTACCAGTGGTATCGCAACATCTTCATAAGGCAGCTTGTCTTCTCGCCAAGCATCGTCAATCAAATCCAAGATCCTTCCATCCCTTTGTACCTCACTGTCCATTTTCCTGCAGCTTTGATTTTGTCAGATCTGTAAACCAAAGAGGTTATTTCTTAACTGTGAAGACTGAGATGGTGAGTACTAGCATTTCCCAGGCTTTTCAGCCTGGAGCCATTTTTTGGCACAACACCCTGGGAAAAGCTCATTTTCTCATATTGGTCAGGTGACAACTTATATTTATAAGACCACAGTTCCTCCCCTTCTACCTGCTGATAGATGCTTTATACTGTATATTAGATAGACATAGCCCAGTGACATTCCAGTGCCAGAGTGTGACAAGACGGCAACATATTCCCAAATGAGGCCCTCAAACATGTTGCATCTAAATGTAGCTTTTCTCTCCCAGCTTGCACATTTACCTTTCCCTGTTCATGATGACTTTGATGAGTCCCTGACTTGTAACTGTTTCCTAAGTTTCCTCTCCAGCCCCTCTAGACTTGCCTGTGCCAATTTTATAAGTTTCCACCTACTTTGGTTCAAACCTCAGCATTTTTAGGCACTGGAGCTAAATGAATATACTGAGATAACATTGCACTGGACTGTGCAAGGTGACCAACTACAGGCCTGACACAAATCCTCAAGAACCATGCCAGAAGTTGAGCTTGTAAAGGAAACTGCTTCCTTTCTTAACAGCACCCAGGCTGAGCTCTGAAAAAAGCACCTCCAGGTGAACAACAGTGACAGAACCCTGTATTACTCCAGTTTTCTACTTTCCTTTGGGGTTCCTTCCCCTGCTTAAGTATTAATGCTACACTCCCTTCAATGCCTGGCCCAAGTGGTCAAGATGCTTACTTAGCTCTTTGACCATAGTGCATAGTGGATTACCCATTTTTCTCCTGAACAGCTGTAATCTAAGCTAAAAGGCTGGCCATCTGAAAGGATATCATTGGGTTCCCTGTTTCCAGGTTTAGGTCCTGTTTCCTCATTGTAGGCATCACCCTACTAACTGAAGGCCTGGAAGAAACTCGCACCAAAGACACTCTCAGTCACTCCCAGTTTCTGAGACTTTGGAGTCTCATACAAGAAACAATTTTTGAGGGGTGAAACTCAGCTATGTTATATAGGCCTGTGTTTGTCCCCCGTAGTATAACTGTAAAATATCTCTAATATCTGGGCATTAGAAGTACCCAGACTGGGGTGGGGAAGGGTTTTTAGCCCCATGATAAATTTCAGGCAAAAATGAAGCAAAAGGTGCCCATCTACTTCTGTCACCAGTGAACCAGGTGAGGTCTTAATGTTTCACTCAAGAATTAATCCAGTACTACACAGTGGATAACTCAAGTTAAAAGATCTTGTGTTCAGGAAAATACTCAGTTCCAGTTATACATTTGAAGTCTCTGCCCTACAAGAGCTCTCCTCTTTCCTGTTGCCACTCCTTTGTCCTTGCTGCTCTGTTCCCTAGGATACCCTTCTCACTTCTTTCGGATCCAAATCTGCTGATTTTCCAAGGCCCAAGCAGATTCCACGTTTTTGTAGTTTTCCCAAATCACTCCAGCTTCAGCTGGGCTTCTGTCCTTGAACGCTTGCTTTTGGTCCTAACTTGACCCAGTAAACAAGTTAGGTCAGCTTTGTGACCGACTGCTCAGGTATTATTGTCTCTAACTGTTATGTGTAAATTTTGTTCCAGTGATTCCTTAGCAGATCTTTCCACAACTTGGCCTCAATCTTTTTCAACTGTCCCTCTTCCAAACACCTCGAACCCTTTCTCACTTTCCAGTCTAGCACTTAAAAGCCCCTTTTCCTCGTCACTAATACCTTTCAAGCAACTCGAGCATCAGCTCTGCGAGGTCGACATCCCATTTCCAGGGTTAAGCGCTAAGGCGCCTTCATCAAGACAGGCAACGACAGGCAATGCGCAGGGCAGGGCCACTGTCCCAAGCAGTCGCCTCACAGTACGACTACCACCAGTCTCCGGAACAAACTTTCCTTATACATGCGATAGTCCCCATGCCTGGAATGCTCTTTTCTCTTCTTTTCCCGGCGAACCCACAATCGGTCTACAAATCTTAGCTCCCTGAACGCCTCCCGTAGGACGAGGTCCCCTCTAACCCCAGGCTGAGCACAGTGCGGGGACCCACCCTGCACCCCCAGGTCCAGCAGTTCCCTGGGCTAGGCTCAACGTATGGCACCAACTGAGGAGTGTCACACTGTCCAGACACGCAGTGCCTGCGTTCCCCGGGAAAGGGGCACCTTGTATTCATCTTCGTATTTTACAGCGTTGTAAATAGGTGATTTATATGATCAAGGTGGGGCAGCTTTTTCCCTCGCTAGAAATGACCCTCGCAGGCCACCACCATCCGTAGCAGGGTGTGACGCCTTCCCCAGGTGCGGCTTCCGGCCTCCGCAGGATATACCAAATGTGGAAGTGAAGGGGGTCTAAGAGCGCCACGCAAGTCCCTTTCCACCCGACAGAGCATGCAGTGAGGGGACGATTACGAGCGTGCAGTGAGGGCCTCAGCATAGGCCGAAGGCAGGAGGAAGGCCGACACTTAGGAACGAAGGCGTTCCCACCCCGCAAGACCTAGACGGGGGTTGCTAGAAACCCTTACCCGCGCCCGGCCCACCGCTGCACCCGCTTTCTCCGACCGCGCCCTCGGCACCACGTGACCTGCACGCTCCTCCCTCAGATTCCGGATGTGGGCGAGCCCATTCGCCGGCGCGGAGAAGACCGTGTTTCAATAAAAGCGAGGGCGCGGTGGGCGGGACCGACGTGCTGACGCTAGAGGCTGGGCGTAAGGTTGGCGGTGACGCGCGTGCGCAGCGCGGGCCGGAGGTAACGGCGGGAAGGCTCGGGCTCTCTCGCGGCGGTCCTGTAACTGCTGTGCTCTCGTAGGACGGGCCAGGGGCGGGCGCCTCCTCGTCCGGAGGCGGCCCCGGCTGCCGTGGTGCCGCTGGCCTCGCGGCCGCATGGCCTACGGCTGGTTCCCAGGGCAGCCCGCAGGGCACCAGGCCCGTCTCCGCCGGCCTGGGTCCGCTCGGGCGCGCCGCCCATCGGTCTCGCCACCCACGCCCTGCAGATCTGCGGACGCGGGCATGGCTCCGGCCGCGGCGCCGTTCGGCCCTGCCAGGTGGTCAGCCCTCCCTCGGAGGCCGGGCTGCGGGAGGGCGCTTGGGAGGGTGGCGCGGTGGGCGAGCTGCTCCGGAGGTCTCGTCTTCCCGGCGCAGCCAACCCCGGGCCGGGCCCCCTGCTCGGTGGAGGGACCTCGGCACAGCCTCCCTGCCTGGGCTGCTGTGTCTAGCTAGCGCTTCCTAGCGTTGTTGCGGCTTATTTCATTTATGGCCGATGATGCCGGCTCTTTCATGGTGGGAAGTTAATTAAGGTTAACAACTTTTTAAGAAGTGAGTTGGTTTCAACGTTAACATTAGTACAGGAAGAACGGAAATGTGGCAAAAATCGTGAAGGACTGAAACGGGGGAGCCCTGAACTTACGCACACAAATCAGCGATGGAAATAAATGGTAGAAGATTTAAAGAGGATAGTTTCTTAAGAACAGTTTAATCATGAAGATACTTGAAGACAGTTCATCTAGGCACATAATACAGCTTTTCTTACAACAGGAGAGTTGAGTTTGATGTCAGAAATTAGTCTTCATTTACATTTGCAGTGCACAAAGTAGTCTCCCTGAGCTTTATAACCGACTCCTTAAACCAATTTAAACCGATATATTTTTTAAAAATATTTTATTCCTTTAATAAAGCAGTTTTAGGGTAAATGTCTTGTATTTATACAGTTGTCACATGCTTGCATTTTTTATTTTATGTGAGGAGGAAATCATAAGGATCATTGGCTATACATTACCTTCAAATATTTACATTTCTACTTAATAGCTGTAGCTTAATGATATAATAGTGTATATAATTGTATTTGTCATGCAGTGCCATCTTTAGATTTTTATCCCAAGCTCTTTATCTTTTGACTAGTGTCATTATCAGTGATCAGTATAGTAAAAAAGCCTCTGAAACTAAAGGGTTAGAGATTTATAAACAGTCAGGCACACTGCCCTTTAAAATGTATGTACATTAAAATCTAAAAATTATTTGTAAAACTTATATATGTTAATTGTACGGATGCCGTTTCCACCGGTTAAGAGGTAGAAAACCTTTGCATGGTCTTACCTGTCCTCATTTATGTAGTGGATGGTGGCAGCATCAGTAGATAACTCTACACAGCTTTCTACTTTAAAAAATGTCCACTTGGCTTGAAATTCAGCTAAAGCTAACATTGATAATTAATATAAGGTTTCAGGAATTGAATTTTTGATTTTTGTTATTTTAGGTTCCGCCCCCCCCCCCCCCCCCAGCTAGGTTTGTTTTTTTCAGTTTTACAGAACTATAGTACTATCATTGCACCTATACAAATTAATACAAATTCTATAATGTCAATATCCATTCAGGGTTCGGATTTCTTCAACTCTCCCATGAATAAGTATCTTTTCATAGTTAGCTTGTTTGGACTCAAATCCCACAAGGATCTGCCTGCGGCATTTGGATGATGTACATTTTACGTTTTGTAATCTATAGCAGTTCCCTCACCTTTTTGTTTTTCCTAAACATTGTAAATTTAGCTGGCTGCATTGCATGATATCCTGTTCCCTTTAACATGTATCTCTGTTCCCTGTATGTCCTCTAAACTAGTGGTTAGATCTGGAATTGTGCTGTCCAGTATAGTAGCTACCGACAAGTTGTGGCTATTTAATTAAGTAAAATTAAAAATTCAGTTTCCTGGTTGCATTAGCCACATTCTGAGCTCAGTGGCCACAGATTGCCTAATGGCTACTGTTTGAACAGTGCATTTATAAAATATTTGTGTAATTGCAGAAAGTTGTATTGAGTAGCACAGATCTAGAAGCTTGATCAGATTCAATCTTGATTTTTTTTTTTTTTGGTGGGGTTGGGGGGAGAACATTTCATAGGTGGTGCAATATACTTAGTATTTCATTAATTATCAGGGTGGCAGGTGATGTCTGAGTTGTTTCTCCTTTTGTGATATTAAGATTGAGCATTGTAGTGGATTCAGATGTTGTTGGCATCATGAAATTCCCCAAGAGCCTTTCACTTAATGGTAAAATCCTTTCATAGATTTAGATATTGACTGTATCTATTTTTGCATTAGGGATTGCAAAGTGGTGATTTTCAATTCTATCATTCCTTTAGTATTTATTATCTAGGAATCTTTTATGAAGAAGAACTTTCTCATCAGCTATTTGACTACCCTGAAATATACTTTGTACAGAAAAGACAAGAAAAATGCTTAATTTTTCCCCCTCTATTTTCAGACTACAGTAATATGTAGGTGACCTAGCAATCTCCAAAGATAACCTATGAGGGTTTTTGCCTTTTTTCAAAATCATCATAAACGTATTGACTTTAATGTATTTAATATTAATATTTAAACTGTTTAAACATACTGCAGTCATTTTTTAGTACTCAAATTGTTCCATGTTAGGCAAGTGAGACCCCCTTTAAATTGATTCCTGTTCCATTTGCTATGACCAAGAGTTTTTTGAGTTTTCATAATTTATTTCCTTCCTTCCTTTCCTTCCTTTTCCTTCTTTTCTTTTTTTGACAGAGTCTTGCATTGTTGCCCAGGCTAAAGTGCAGTGGCATCATCACAGCTCACAGCAACCTCAGACTCCTGTGCTCAAGTGATTCTCCTGCCTCAGCCTCCTGAGTAGCTGGGACTACAGGTGTGTGCCACCATGCCTGGCTAATTTTTTAATTTTTTTGTGGAGACATTGTCTCACTGTTGTTCAGGCTGGTCTTGAACTCCTGACCTCAAGTGATGCTCTCACCTTGGGCTCCCAAAATGTTAGGATTATAGCCACCTTGCCTGGCCCTTGTCTTCTGATAAAACATTTTCCTGGCTTCCTTTAAAATGTATTTATACATTTCTGGCCTCCAAATGAGCCCTGGTTCCTTTGAGTTGGAGGTAATTAGAGACCACAGTCTGGGTGAGAGAGGTGTTCTTACTCCTAGGTTGGTTGTTGGTTCTAGGATTTACAGTGGTCAGAATTAGGAAATACACTTTTTAAAAAGAGATAATAGAGAGTTCATACTGCTTCCAATTTAAGCTTCATTTTATAGTTTTTTTTAACATTTGATTTTATATTTGTATCTTTTTCTCTTTTACTGAAAACAATGGTAACTAATTGCCATTAATATAGTTACTTTTTATATAAAATGATTTCAAATTAACAATACCAATTTTATTATTACCAGTATGATTCCCGAATAGAGCCTAGAATTTCCTTTTAGTTCTTTTTTATCCTTAGTATATATGCCTCTAGGGCCATATACAGTGAAATCACTGTATTTTAAAGGCATATGAAGTTATTGTATGGTTAGTCTATCAACTCGATATCTAGTTGATGATTGATTTATTTAATTTTATTTCCAATTTTTCAGTACTGCTTTTTTTCATTTTGATTTGATTTATCCTTTGTAAAACATTAGTATAATTTCTAAAAAAAACAAGCACCTATAAAACAAGGGTCATTCAGAGAAGCTTAGCTTTCATCCCTGTTTCTTCCACCGTTTGTTTATTTATTTATAGGAAAACTGTGAAAACTCAAAACTATTGGTCATATCAATAGGAAAGGAGCCAATTTAAAGGAGTGTCTCACTTCCCATTTTTTTTACTGGCTTTGGGTTTATTGTTCCATAAAAAAAAATGCACATAAAAGCAATATGCAAATCCTAGCACTCTGTGAGGCCAAGGCAGGCGGATTGCTTGAGGTCAGGAGTTCAAAACCAGCCTGAGGCCGGGCTCGGTGGCTCACGCCTGTAATCCTAGCTCTCTGGGAGGCCGAGGCGGGCGGATTGCTCAAGGTCAGGAGTTCGAAACCAGCCTGAGCAAGAGCGAGACCCCGTCTCTACTATAAATAGAAAGAAATTAATGGCCCAACTAATATATATATACAAAAAATTAGCCGGCATGGTGGCACATGCCTGTAGTCCCAGCTACTTGGAGGCTGAGCAGGAGTTGCTTGAGCCAGGAGTTTGAGGTTGCTGTGAGCTAGGCTGACGCCATGGCACTCACTCTAGCCTGGGCAACAAAGTGAGAC